AGAAAAAAACAAAAACAAAAAAAATCTCCCTGAACCAGGGCTGTTACTTCTAGATCAGTAGTGACTAAAAAGAGGAAAAAAAAAGTTTGAGTAAGGAATCTGAAAGCATTAGTGCAGGTTTTAAAAATAATGAACTTAGGAAAGAAAAAAGTACTGCCTGGAATGAAATTTCGCCCTGAATTTTTCCATTAACGTGTAACTCAGCTTTGGGAAAAATAATGGGCTGGAACCTGTACCTCTGGCAACAGAAACTGAAACTATAAATCAGAGTCTTTTCTGATAGAACACATGGACTTGCGGATGGACCAGAGTAACAGTCATTCATTACAAAATGAGGATAAGAGTATCGGGGGTAAGATCTAGGGCAGCTGTGCACACACCCGAGGAAGCATTAGAGCCTGAACGACTTCTTCCAGCCTTTGGACAAGTCTATGCCAGTCTCTTGCTTGTTGATATTTCCTATTCATCCTTGCTTGCTTTTGCTGTCCCCTCTGTACATAAAAGCCATGCATTTTAGATTGTAGGGAAGTATTTTTTTTAAGATTTTATTTATTTGAGAGAGAGAAGGAGAAAGCACAACAAGGGGAGGGACAGAGGGAGAGAGAGAGAGAGAGAAGCAGACTCCCAGCTAAGCAAGGAGTCCAAGAGGGGGGTTGATCTCAGGACCCCAGGATCACGACCTGAGTGGAAGGCAGACCCTTAACTGACGGAGACATCCAGGTGCCCCATAGAAAGTGTCTATTTTATTTTATTATTTTTTTTAAAGATTTTACTCATTTGTCAGAGAGAGCACAAGCAGGGGGAGCGGCAGGCAGAGGGAGAAGCAGACTCCCCGCTGAGCAGGGAGCCTGATGCGGGTCTTGATCTCAGGACCCTGGGATCATGACCTGAGCTGAAGGCAGATACTTAATGGACTGAGCCCCCCAGGCATCCCTGGAAAGTGTCTATTTTAAGTATTCCCTCCTGTCACCTCTCCTAAGCCAATCACCCTTATAGCATACTCAGAGTGTGTTCATCACACGCAGACATTTAATGAGTGCTCCATGTAAGTTCTTACTTACTAAAACAAAACAGAAGAGAGAGACAATCTATTCCATTTTCATTACACCCATCACCTAATTTGTACCATTTTTTTCCAGGTTCTGAATATGAATATTAATACTTATTTTCAAAATTACCTGAATCACTTTGTCTCGTTTCTCAATTTTTGTCTCTGCAACACCTAACACATATCAATGTATTAATTAATATTTGTAACACTTCTCTGGAAAAGGCTGTATATTAGAAAAAATAAAATGTTCTTTATCATGAACCCTAGAAAACATCAGCTTCTTCATATTCTGCCCTAAGTAGGATGTACTCTTTGGAAACTTATTCCAGTTCACAGAGGAAATTTTATGTTTGTCAAGTGTATAATTTCCTCCGTGCTAAATACGATATTTATCCTTGTAATCCAGAATATAGATGTATATGTGTGCCTATACGTGTTTATATATACTATTACTTAAACTTGCTTAAGAACATAAAAGGGGGCCAAGCACATCATAAGTGCTTATTATAGAGATCACCAGGTGGATTTATTAAAAAAATCCGTTAACAATTAGGAAGGCAAATATTTCAACCCAAGTTTCAGAGATTCAAAAGGAGCAAGATTCTCTTCAGAGAAAACCTGCCTTTGGCCGGTCCAGGCAATCCGCACTGAAAACATGCCCTCTGCTGCCATCAAGTGGCTATTTTCAGAATCGTTTTACGAATACAACCGGAAACTGCCTGCTTTGCTTTCCTACCATTTCATTCCTTACACATTATAGATATTATTCTTTGGGGAATTTAGATATTTGAGAAGGCCAGGCAAACTTTTCCTAAACTAGGGCTTTACACTATGAATGCTGTGAAAATTCCATGACTAAGAAATTCTTCAGAAAGATGATGTCACAAAGGGTAAAAACTCTTCCCAGCCCTAGACTTGCTCAGTTTCGGGTCAGTAAAGACCTCACCATGGACTCTGAAGCACATCTCTCTTTATTTCTGCCAAACAGATTTCTACATAGATTGGCCTTAAGATACCTAGTTGAACAGGGAGGAAAAAAAAAAAAACCTGGGGGTGGAGGGAGTCATTTAGAATCATTTTTAACCAAGGCAAGTCCCATTGCTGTGGAAGAAAATGGTTTCATGTTTCTCACTCCAGTGAGAACACCAGGAGCAGCCAACTTGACTCTTATCAAGTCAGTTCTGGCTAAAACTCTTGAGGTTCAGTCAGACAAACCTAGGGTTTTTGTTCTCCATAAGGAGGTATCAAAGGACTCTAGCTGAACCTAAATTTACAAACAATCCTAGAATTGGGGAAAAAAGCAAATCATTCTAAGGAATCCTCTTTGAAATCCTAAAAGAGCCACAAACCAGGACACATTGTAATCCTCGATGCCAATCAAATTCATTGTAAATAATCCAGGATTCCCCTCTACCACCAGCAATCCATAGTCATGAAACTCGTCAATCATGATATCCACATGCCTATTCTTTCCACAGCCTCTGGCTCCATCATTCCCTGCCTTACAAAGGATGAGGCAATACTTCGGATAACATGGTGTCTCCTAGAGAACCCCAAAAGCACAGTTGTATTAATTTTCCCTAACACCTGATTTTCCTCCAATTTACATTCCAACCTTAAAGTACTTAGTTCATGGTACATGGTAATATGTCTTTTAAAATAGTAATTTAATTTTTTATTAGAAAAACTAAACCACTTGTCCCTTGCTTTGGATTAAAAAAAAATTAAAAAGTGACCCCATGAAAATGTCCTTCTGAACAAGGATGAGGCATATTGGTGAAGAGTTCAAGAGTTAGTCAGAATATGGACTACTGTATTTAGTGTGAAAATAAAAAAGAATCACTTTCAATTTTAGTTAAGACAGACACCCACAAATTCTTATTTCCTGCATATACTGCCTACTTCTTTCAATTTTCAAACACAGCTTGAAAGATAAAAATACAAAGAAAGACTAATAGACTTACAGTGATTGAGCATCAGAATCAATCAGCAATCAACTCTGCACCAGCCTGAGAGCAGGAGGTATTACCAGAATTCACTACTTAATCGCTCAACTCCTTGCTTAATGTCTAAAGTAGAGACTGAATTATAATGTAACTTTAGACAAGTGACAGGACATCTCTGGTCCTCAGCTTCCTGATCTGTAAAATGGAGATAATAAAAACACCTATTGCACAGGGTCATTGTGAGGTTTAACTGAGTACTGGTACTGAGTGCTTAAGAACTGTTAGCCCTCTCTAAGATTGGATTTATTATTAGCTATTGAGTGCTCTACAGTGTGCCAGGGATGACCTATTATTGCATTTAGTTTATTACTTTTAAATCTGCTTCTTTCCTCAGAATAATAACTTCCGGTTAGCAAAGACCTCAGTAGCTCCATAAAATAAAAAGAATAAAAAAAGAATTAGAGAGGAAGTCAACTTCCAAGCAGAAGCTATATTTTATATACTATTTTGACGTATTATTTTCAGCAAGTGCTTAAAAAGTTTTTTATGGGTCCCTTCCCCTTCTGGCCCCAATGCTGACTGCACAACACCTCTCTGACAGACTTCTGGTTGTGTTGGGTAATTCCAAGAGGACCGCTACCCATTGCATTAATACAGGCATGCGCTAAGGCTGAGGCTCCTCCTGACTGGCCCGAGTTAGAGTCTGTAACTCCACCATTTAAAAAGAGACCCAGTAAAGGGCATTATTTGAAACCCAAGAAATAATCACAAACAAAGCTTGTCAGTAACTTTTTTTTTTAAGATTTTTTTATTTATTTGACAGAGAGATAGAGAGTACAAGGAGGCAGGGTGGCAGGCAGAGGGAGAGATAGAGAGGCAGGCTTCCCGCTGAGCAGGGAGGCCCAACTTAGGGCTCGATCCCAGGACCCTGAGATCATGACATGAGCCGAAGGCAGACGCTTAACAACTGAGCCACCCAGGCGCCCCAAACTTGTCAGTAACTTCTTAAAGCCTGAACATTTGATCTAAATATCACATGCCTGAATGTATCCCTTTACTATTCATTTTCTTTAATGGTGAGGGAAAAACAATGAAATTTTAATTGAGCTATCCCTCTTAGCAGTGAACAGTGCTGGCTAAAATCTATACATAACATCAAAACAATTGTACTCCGGAACTGGTTGACAATCTTGCCTAGCCTACATTTAGAAGAAAACGATATCACCTAGCTTTCCAATCTACTGGGGAGAATAGATGGAAACATTCCTTAGGAACTATGTCAGTATACAACAATACCTAAAGTGGTTTATTCTTGTCAGGAATCTAATTTTTAGTGCTATAAGTTAGGCCATTCTCCTTGTATTCTGTTCTTAAAACTTACTAAGAGCAAATCAAGAATTGAAGAAAGTTACAAAAAAAAAAACCACAACTCTATAATCTCCTTGTTATCACCTCTTCATGCGACGGTGATTTGATCAGTGATTTGATAAGTAAAGATCACAACCCTGCATTTAATACAAGGTGGCCCACTTTTAAAATGACCCATTTATAACAAAGGTTTCTCTGTTCGGAACTATCAAGAGTTAAAAAAAAAAAAAAAAGCCACCAGTATCAAATACTTTTATTTAACCAGGCATTGCAGAGCAATGGAACTGCAAATCTGGAGACCTTCATCTTATCCCAGCTTTACTAACTGTGAGATAAACAAGTCAGTAAGATTTCTGGATTCTCATACTCTCTGTGGTTTTACTGAAATTATTACCTGCCCTCAAACTACCCCGCAGAGAAGTCCTCAAGTAGAAAGAACACAAGTATCGCAGAATGCTATAAGCTCCTTGGAGAAAAGACTCTAAATGCTTTAAGTAAGAAAAATGCACAGATTATCTTTATTTACAGTAGAATATTTGTGAAGAGTTAGGCTACTACGAACTAAAAAATTCTCTGAATTTTTACAAGTTTCAAACATAACACTCACCACAGTAGAAAGGGGAAAGATAACCTACCCCATGTTCCCATCCATTAGAAGAATCGTGTTGTATATGTGAGAAAATATGAAGAGAAACAGAATTGTGCTGAAGAACATTGTCATCCATGACCCATGATCCTCTCGAAACATTTTTAACCGGAGCAACTGACCTGCAATATAAGATATTATTAGAAATCAGTGTCCATCATGACTCACAATTCACACAGCTTTGCTTTCTTTTACTGAATCTCTCTTATCTATTTTCTGAGGTCTTTGCCATAGAATTGCCTTATGGGTCAAACCACTCTACTAATGTCCTTTCTGGTTTTGGTCAATAAATGATCACGGATGAAGTTCAAGACGGTCCCCATATCATCCTGGAGCAAATAATACTAACATGAGACTCTAGGATAGTTCAGAGAACATTCATGATGCTGCCCTGAAAACAAGAGGAATTAGAGCGCTGACACCTGTTTTCTATTTCACTAATGTGTCTTTGGTTTCCTGTATACTGAAGCTACTTCAGGCAAATGGTAGAGACATTGTGTAAGTTCCACATAATTCCCTTTGCTTCCATAGGCCCACCCCCAGTACTGACAAGACAACAAAACCAAGGTAGATCCAATTGTTGAAGGTACATGAAAACTTAAAAGGAAAAATACGGTGTCTGGCATAAGATCCAGACGACATACCCTCACTCTCAGCTAAAACATCCACGCTTGCATACAGGCCTGTGCATAAGTGTGTGTGGGTTGAAGGGGTCAGATGGGAGGGTAGGAGGGGGTAGCATGTACATGTTACGGAGCTTGGTGTGGCTCTCAGCAAAAGGATGTTTCCACCCTTATGCCTAAAATTCCATTACATAGATAAATGCGAAGATAAGAAAGAATCTTAAAATGCAAATATTTCAGGGAGGGAAAACATGTATAGATGAATACTAAAATAAACATTACTAATATCAGAATTAATGCAGAAACATTTCAGTAGAGAAGAGAAGTGAGAGCATTACTATCCTGAAAATTGAGAGAGCTGACAAACCATGGGAGTGAGAAGAAAATGAACATAGGTCACCCTGGCTTCTCCCAAGATAAACTTTGTCTAGTAGGCTTATTTCCATTCCTGAGAAAGTTATCTAAATAATGATAAGAGAGATGATACACACATATAAACTACAATTAAAATAAAGTAGGCCTTAAATCCTATAATAGAATTTCTCACTAGAGAAAATATTCCCTTTTTATTCATGATATGTCAAAGTTATGAAAAAGATACACATATTTCCATCTGGAAATTGTCTCTCTAGGGATGGACAGTAGCTCTCATGTAGGTTACTGAAGATAGGAAGAAATCTTTTAAGATTTAATTACTAAGTTTTTCTTGTACCTCACTTTTATTAAAATAGCACTTTAGATTTCATTTGGAAACCAGAAACATTATACTAGCCAAAACTTTAAATAGAGCAAAAAAAAAAGGAGATTTGGTTACATCATCTGGTTTCTTGGCCTGCGCAAGAGAAGCAAAGGGCAAACCTGAAAGTCAAGGGAAGAAGGACATGGAAAACTCTCTACTGAAGTAAACAATGCTAGCAGAGCAAATTACAACTTCACAGAACTTGCTGATTAACTGAATCAATGGTTATGGAAAACCAGAGATCTGCAAGTCTCCACACAATATGTTGTCAGGAATATGATAAGTAGATATTAAGCACAGAATGCTTGAGAGTAAAAAACTCATGCCATAAATATCATAAAGCAAACTGTAAAGAATATTATTCATTTGTTGAGCAAAATATTGAATGTGTTCTGATGACATGTCAGCAATGGTTCTAGGTACTAGAGATACAGCTGAGAGCAAGGCAGAAAGGTGTTTGAAGTCCATCATTATTTGGGTGGTTAATGAAAATGTGATCTTATTTTAGGCTCATGGGCTCTCTTTGTTCAAGGTTTCCTTAGCTTCAAGTCCTTTCAGCTTCAAACTAAGATTTATTTAGTTCAGCACTTTAGACTGAAGAACAGCAAAGACCAGCAATTAGAGTTCCTTGAAAATTTAAATGTGAATTTCCTTCTTAACATATGCATATGTCAAAAAAATTACTAATGGATGTACTTTAAAAGTCAAATCATAATGCTGGCGATTGAAGAGTGCTTTGCAAATAAAACACAGTAGATTAACTGTGCACTGGCTGAAATAACACAAAGTCAGTAAAAAGGGAAATGTGACAGTACCATTTATGCTGTCATTGCCAAGCTCATTGTCTGGCACTAATTTCAGTCATTAGAGTCATTAGAACAAAATGGCAGGTTAACATGGCCTGAAATTCACTTGTGATGCATAATACAAGTGCTGCAATATACGAAGGACAGCACTGGTGTGGCTCCAATGTTCAGTCAAATCACATTATAGAAATTCCCCATAAGTTACTTCAAGGTTAACTCACTGGGTGTCCATCCTATTGCTAGAAACACGTATGCATAGATTGCCATCAGTTGGCTGCTGGCATAAGTGACTTCTCATCAAACTAATCAGATCAGGAACCTCAGTGTTACCTGAGGATGTCACACAAAAATGTGTTGTCTCTGCCCTATAGTATGACCATACATTTGGTCTGCCTGGGACAACAGTGGCTTATAACTGTTGTCCTGACACAATTATTCAGAACGCCCCCTTCGTTTCTTAAGTGTACTGGTTTGGGTAATAAATTATATGCCACCTTCTCTGTAGATCACAGAATTCAGAATTTTATCACACTTTCCTTTAGAGGAGTTTCAGTAAATAACTGAGTGAAGACAGTCCTATAGGTCAACAAGAGTAAAAGGGCATCACTGAGAAGGTGGGTACATTCCTGACAAGGTCATAAGTGACTTTTATTTTAACCATAGATACATTTATGAATATGAGTGTATATTTATATTAATAAAATTTGTCTTGGACTGTATGGACCATCACCTTTGATAAGGTCAAGGTAATTGGAAAATTAATCTTCGAACAAGCGGAAGCATTAAGATGGTACACGAGCCTATAGAGGTGTTGGAAGACACAAGGATTGGCTGTTACAAATGCTGGTTAAAGTCAACTGAAATGCCCTAAAACCTCAAAATCTTTCCTGGAAATACAGTGGGTTTAAGGCCAGGAAGATGTTATAAAATTTTAACAAGATTAATGATCTAAAAGCATATTTAAAAATATATGATGGGGGCGCCTGGGTGGCTCAGTTGGTTAAACCGCTGCCTTCAGCTCAGGTCATGATCCCAGGGTCCTGGGATCGAGCCCCACATCGGGCTCCCTGCTCATGTAGGAAGCCTGCTTCTCCCTCTGCCTGCCGCTCCCCCTGCTTGTGCTCTCTCCCCCTCTCTCTCTCTCGCTCTCTCTGTGTGTCAAATAAATAAATAAAATCTTAAAAAAAAAGAATTCCTTCTTAATAAATAAATAAATAAATAAATAAATAAATAAATAAATAAAAATATATGATGACCCCACATATGTAGTGGAAAATAAAAAGAGGAAAATGTAATAGGGAGAAGTCTGGAGAAACTGCTTGGTTTCTTGGGGGATTTTTGCTGCTGTGTTCTCATCGGCAAAACACAAAGAAATATTTCCTTTCTACCTCACAACCAGACTTTTATCCTGTGTTCTGGGTACCTTTTGTTCAAGTGCGGTTCTCACAAGGAAGCCTTGAACAAAGAAATAAACAATCTCAGAGGAAAAGAAGAAGAGTCTGTACTTCCACGCAAGAGACAGGGGTAGCCCTACTCCTGGGAATTTGTTAAAGCAAGGGATTTGATAGAGCGAGGGCTTCTAGGTTCATGGAGGATACGAAGATTTAGGCCTCCAAGGTGGCAGAACATCATTTGGATTTGATTTAATGGATGGTGGTGAAAGCCAATAGCAAGGGTCATGGCACTGAAAGTCAGGTAAGGAGACTGAGTTAGCCCCTAGGGCATAAGGTCAGTAGGGCAGTCACCAACCTCCATTAGGAACACAACAACCTGGGCAGGACCCAGACAACTGTTGGAGGAAATCATCGAAAGGACATGATGACCAGGTGACCCTCAAGCCAGACCTAGGCAATCGGAGGCTCCTGACCCCTTCCCCTGTTATTGGAATGCTCGTTCTACCCACCACTCCCACCATGGGAGCTGTTTTTAACAATGCAGTATTGAGAGAGCAATGAGTTGGTGCAACTGTCCAGACGGTATAAGTGACTGAACTCCGTTGAGACCTCTATATGAATTTTAAGATTGTAGTGGGTAAGTGCAGAGATCTACTTGTCTTATGGCCACTGAAGGCAAGCCTCGTATATGTTCTCTTGCTTATTAAAACCACCACCTCCCAAGTGGGAGGTGCCTGACTCTTTCTTCGGTCTTTCCTTGCCCTCCATGGGTGGTGACCAGTGTCAGATTTTACCTGAGAAATTCCCAAGTTTGCAAACCAACATCATCTTAAACAGTACCATAGCGCCAAAGAGGGGGCCGGAGACCATCACCCAAGCAGCATTAGAAGAAGCAGGGAACAGGTAAATATAGACTGAGGGATTTGTTTCCAGGACCCCTGTAGCCTTAGGACTATTTTAAATTTTAGTGATAAAAAAAGATAAGGTGAAAAATAACCAATATTGTACTCTCTGCTCGCCTCAGTAAGCAGGAATCAGAGCAAGATTTATATAATATAGAAGAAAAACTGTGGCATTTACACATAAGACCCTGACCAGGAAATATAAAAGGACAAATGAAGGTGGCACTTTCCTCAAGAGGACTTCAAACTGAATTAATACTGCTATCCATTAAGCCTCCTGCTCCAAACTCTCCTATATTTGATGTGGCCAGCCATATACACAATGTATATTTGCATGTACATAATGGATACATATGTAAGACAAACATGTAATCTACAGCAAATTAAAAATTTTTAATTTGTTGAGGTCAGTAGCTGGTTATAGTCAAAGTTGGAATAGCAGGCATTCCACATTGCAGTAAGAATGCTCTCTGTTGCCAATAACAGAAAAGGAAGGAAGGAAGAAAGGAAGGAAGGAAGGAAGGAAGGAAGGAAGGAAGGAAGGAAGGAAGGAAAAATGGAAGGAAGAAGGGGAGGGGAGGGGAGGGGTGGGGTGGGGAGGGAGAGGGGAAGGGAAAGGAAAAGAAAAAACTAAAAACCAGCTTAAATTATAAGGAGT